TGTAATATTCTTGCTTTCAGACAAATTTCTATAAGTTTGACTGAAAGGTGCGATGAGATTACAAAAGCGTCTCACCACAAATTCGAAAGTCTGAGATACCAGTGCGTTTGTGTGTAGAATGAGATAAAAGAGGTAATGCATACTTTGGATAAGATCAGTACTGTGTGTAACAATTCATCCAAAACATTCAATGTGTAGTCATGCCGAAATGTAATTCTATCACATCTTGAGTTGCCTAACACAGTATATGTAATATTCCTACTAACAACTAAGAGGGCAACACATGTATTTCATTCAAGTTTTCTTATCTTCGCCCAAATCAATAGAAACAATGTAAATATCTTAATTTTCAAACAAGAAGTTCAACCATCATATAAATATGAAAAACAATTTTTGTTTTGCTGTGAAGAGAGAGAGAAAAAGACAGATCCTGGCATATCATACAAATACCAAAACAATTATCACAAATGTAACAAATAAATCTGCACTTACGCAAATCTGCGAACAGTAGCCAGAGCACAGTGCTTGACCTCTTTATCTTCATGGTAATCACACCTGGTAAAATAATTCAAAATTGCTCACATCAAATAACTTGCATTTTACCTTCAATCTATCTAGATTTAAAACATGGGGGCCAAATATGAAACCTCTGGAAAATTTTATATCGTCTAGGCTTTCTTGCTTTTGACCTATATGTTAAAACTGTAAGTCAATTATTTCAACAAATAATAGAATTTCTCTCTCTCTCTTCTTCTTTTTTTTTTTTTTTTTACATTGAACATGACCAGAAAAAAGGGAAAAAATTAACACCTGGGAACATTTCTGGAGGCAAGATTGACTGGAAATTCAAATCAAAACAGATGTGTGTAAAAAAAAGACCTTAACTCACGCTTGATTGCTTTTAATTTTCACAAAACACCAAATAAAGAACAAACAACAATGCCTAAAGAAAATGATAAATATGACCCCATTTTTCCAACAATTTATAATTGTTTTTTCATAAGAAACAGTCACTTGGATAAAAGCAAATCATCCTTAAGACGGTAATTCCTACCTTGTGTTAATCTCATAGTCATAAGCAGATGTAGTGATAAGATCAGTGCATTCCCCAATAGCAGTGGAGGCAGATGAATGTGCGTAGAGATCCTGTACTAGTCCGTCCAGCTCGTAGACTTTTCGTAGCCTGTTAGCATACCCCAGGCATGCATGCGCATGAAGCCATTCCAAACAACTGTTCACACATTTCCATTCAGCTTTCTAAAAAATAAAGTAAATGATCAGTGAAAGAAAAATTATAAATTGCTTGAAAATAAATATAAATCTATTTTTATATGCGTTTCTAAAATAAATCTACTTCTTTTTCTATAATAGAACTGGGTAAACGTCAAGAATAACTAGTACTTTTTTCATTTCACTGCACTTATTGGTAAGCACACAAACTGATACCTCTCACTGTCAACTTAAATGTACGAAATACATCAATGTGCCAATCAACTATTCTGAACAGTAGAAATTGAGGAAAGTTTGTTTTGGTGTCCCACTGGCAAATGCTGCCATCTACTGTGACACAAAGAGACTACTGTGGACTTCATCAGTCTGTGACAGTTGACACCATTACTTTGTAACAGTTTTGCTAACTTCTACTCACTCTGTCTTAATTCCCTATCACATCACAACCAACTTTTACCTGACAATATAAAGGTGGAGATTCTTTTTTCTCTTGGTTGGGATTTAAGAAATTTTCCATCTGTATCCAAAGACCCATGTAGTTTTTGTCCGCATATTCAAACCTTTCTATTGGAATTTGATGTGTTTCATCACCTGAAAAAAATTATAGAGAATTTATAAATTTACTGAACAGACATGTCAATGCACAAATTTAATATCTTGCAAAAATTCATCACTTTTACTCTGTCATCTTTACGAAAAGCCAATCCTATCAAAGTTAGTAGTTAGACCAAGTTTGAATACCTAGTAAACATCCAAACAAATTTTTTGAAAAAATGAACTAGATACAAAAGAAGGATACAGAGAAAGATTTAACAAAAAAACTTACTGTGATTTTGGCAAGTGTATCTGTACCCTGTGGGGATAGGACCTGAAATACAATGGACAATCTATCAAAATGAGGAAAACCAGATCCTGAAAATTGCACAAATCACTTCTTATGATGGACTTATACTAGTAGCTAATTTTTTGCCAAAAAGAACAGGAATACAGAAGAAGTTGATGGGTGATTTCATGTGTAATTCACCAAGAACCCCCCCCCCCCCCCAAAAAAAAAAAAAGACTTGTCATTAAAAACCATTTATTTCACACTTGAATTAGATGTTTTAATTTGAAAACTAATTAAAAGTACCTGGTTCTATCATCCTGTGAAGATGTTTGGTAATGCCATTGTTCAGACTGTACTCTATCAATCCTACTTCCACTGGAATAAAATATCCTTCTTCTGTCTCACACAGGTACTGGAAGCTAATGAAGTAGAACTTTTCATGGATTACACCTAGAAATGAATAGAAAGAATCAAATATTGTTTGTGAAATGACTTGCAGTATTTATTTTTTTTTTCAATTATTTGGTGTGTCTACTGAGTGAATATTTTTATTTTAGAAGATTTTCATAAATACAGGCAATAAAATTTGGGGCTGTATTTCATCAACTGAGTAACACGTTTGTATTTGCCAAATGCAAAAATAAATATGAATTAATAAATTCAACTATTCTGTTCAAAGTAAAATATGCTCAGTTTACATCAAGTATAACCAATTGGGTAAAAATATCAACTGGGCTAAAACAAACACAGTTAGAAATGCATGCCATAAAACACCCTTTACAGTATAAAATTATGCAGTTTACCTTGCCCAGCAGGCCATTTGGTTCTCACTTGTTTTCTTTCCCTCATCCTGTCTATATCATATTCTTTCTTTTCATCTTTTCTTTCCTAAAAGAAAATGTTTTCAAAAATTGTTGTTTTGTAATTAGTAAAGATAATTTGAGGTTCCCCACATAATCATGTGAAGGGGCCAAAGCAATAGTCCGAAGGTTCATTGGTCAGAATGTTCACTATAGAACCTTCGGACCAATGAACGCTTGATTAAAAAACTGAGGAAAATGTTACCATTTTTTGGACTATCGAGATGCCCACCACGAGATACACTTACACTGAGGAGGTTCCCCACATTATCAACTCTGTATTTGTCTCCCTCTGCACCACGCATCTTCGCTTTCCATTCCTTAGCCATCTGTTCATACCTTGCTTTATCTTGCTCTGAAAGCATCTGGAAAAAAATTACGCTCTGTATAAGATATCCACATTACAAAATGTGGTCATGAATAATGTGATACTGCCTGAAAGTAGCCAGAAAAACTTGAGAAAAGCGGACTCAAGATTGGCATCAAAGTGGATCTAAAAATACTGGTCTAGTGGCATGGCTCCTTTTAATAAACCCACTTCTGGCTATCTCTTCAGTTTTACGTACATTTTTATTGGACATGTAGCCTAGCTTTGACATGGTTTTGGTTTGTGTCATTTCTAGATTGTTGTTTCTACTGGATTTGATTTTTTTACCTTATACCTATGGTTTCTCTACAGCCCAGTGCAGTACTGCATGGGTACATTTGTAATTTTAATTATATATATAGTTATATTAAAATATATAAATGAGTAACAATAAGGATATTAAAGCTTATCAACTTTTGGCATTATGACAGAGGAGTGTGCAATCACAAAGGTCGTAAAATGTGGTTTTGGGATCCATCAACCGATCAAAGTCACTTATGCTTGCAATGACAGATATTCAAACTTTAATTAAATAATAATAATAATAATATAGCCAAAAGAAATAATTATCACGGAGGAATTGCTCTTGTATCACTTCGCTGTATCAATATAACATTGAAAAAAATCCATTATATATATTAAGAGTTTCTTTAACCCAAACATTTATTACAACAATCTGTTCAAAACAGGCACAGGTCACTGCATGTGCAAGTGCCGTGAATTATGTTGAAGGAAGCTGTCACCTTCCATCGGGGGTGAGCAACAGGCACCACGTCCGCCATTCCATTTGGAAAAACTCTACCCTCTCTTCGTAGTTCTGGCATCAGATCCTGCATGTAAAAATAAAACCCGTTCCTTTGCTGTTTCTTCGGCATATTTGCTTATTTGCATGGAGCTTGCCCGGAATTCTATTTTCTTCATTTAAAGATGGCGGCTCCCAGGCACATGTGATTGCGTCACTGGTGCGCTTTGCTCAACTGTCGCAATGTGGTAATACTTATTTTTCTGCGAGCTAAATATTGAGTTAGAATGTGTCTCTCGAAATATCGAGGATTTATCTACTTCTCAAAATTACTTTTACTTCAAACCTGCACCCGGCAAATCAAAAGAAGTTCTTTTTTTTTTTAATGGACGTTTTCCCTACGCGTGTTCATAGTTCTAAACTACTGGTAGGGCTAATTTTGATTTAGAGGGAACTATATCTCGAACATATAATATCACTCCATTGAAAAACATTTTTATTTCGGATCTTGATTGCTTTGCTTTTAGTTTTAATTGCGTAGAAAAAAATTACCTGACTCCCTTGTTTTTAGAATCTAAGGATCTTTTTCTGTAATCTATTATTACCATTATGAGATTATCAGTATCAAATTATAGGCCTACTGACAAAAAAGTCAAGAGTTCGCAATATAATCTGTAACTCGGGATGGCTGTAGGGCATTTTTTTTACATATAGGCCTAATAAAAATGTGACAAATTTTGCGATATTGACTGCTGCACATAAATGTCCACCTGTAGTGTACAAGGTACTGGTGATTTTAGGATTGATGAACCTCAGGTTGGTTTCTTGAGACCTATGTAGTTCTATCATAATCCACCCTAAATCTCCTCTTGAGATCTGTGAGAAAGGTCATCTGTGGTAGGTTTTATCAAATAAAGTCCTATATGTGCACGTGGATGTGTGTATATGGTCACTATCTGGAGGCAGAGAAGAACCATGTCCATTAGCACAGCTGTGTTCGTTTTCGGGCTCTTGGCGTCGGGCCAGGCCTGGCTTTTTGGGGGAGGTGAGTAAACCATATCTTGGAAAAACTTAAAATATCCTAGAGTCAATTGATTCTCTTTGTCTACTTTAATTAGATGCAAAGTGAACAGTTTTTCTAGTTCTTTGATAAAGTTAAGAGAAATCATATAATTTAATGTATTTCTGCTTTAGACCTTATTAAGAGCTTCTTAAGAAATTTAATTTTGTTTTCTTTAAAAAGACATTTTGATATTATTTGATAGGTCCAGCATGGGACGACCTGAAAGGTAATGGGATTTTAATCATTATCATTTTCAACGTTTATAAAATAATTCTGGAAAAATAAAAACAAGCATTTTTATAAAGGTCTAGCGTGAAGTTTTAGAACTTACCTGTATTTGATCTTATGATTTTGTTCTATCCTTATAAAAACACTTAATCTTAGGACAGCGTTATATAAATGATAAAAAAATTAACCACCTAAGTCTATTGTAATACAGGATACTTTTATTAATTTAAATGAGAATTTAACATTTTTTCTATTTTCTATGAAAACCCGCGCATGGTTTCGAAGGGCTTTTTTTAACCATCAAAGCAATAAGTGATATTATCTGTTGTTTTGTTAATTTAGTCACGTTTGGGATCAATCCTTTCGGGAACTCGTTTTCCTCGATGCCAAGAACAGTTAAAGACGCTGTGTACTATGGATGGAAACTGGATACTAGATGCGGCAGTAAGTTTTGAATTTTATTTTCTAGGCAAAATATGAAGTAGTTTCTGTAATCGGAAAGCCAAGTGTTTTGGTTGGTGTGTATGTCTGTGTTTTCATGTTCATTAATTTTCAGCTTTAAATATATAAACCTCTTTTTTATATACATGAATTAATTCATTAATTTTGGGGAGGGAACTGGCTTCCAATGCTCGCGGTGATCAGATAAAAAATTCAATTTGAAATTTAATTGAAATTGTCCTGATTTTGTATGCTGGGGGCTGACACTGTTTGCTAGCTCTCCATTAAAAAAAATGTTTTCTCTTTTAATGCTGACCTTTTCCTTTTGTTTTCCCCAGGCAACAGCCAGTTCATGGGCAACCGTTACATCAAGGACGGCGATACAGCGGTGATGTTGTTGTTTGATAAGAACGGCTACATTGCGGGTATACAGGCTGGGGTGAGTATTATAACACGTTAAGACGAAAAAGGAATTTGGGTATCTTTACCCGTAAGTGCCTCATAGTGAAAATAAGTCCAGGCATCTTATAGTTATCATCATTTTCTTGTATAACTGCGATATTTTGTTTTTTGTTTTTTCAGCTATCTGTGGCTATCTAATTTAAATGTCGATAATGTTTATCAATTGATACATAATGTGAATAAATTATAACTATTTTTCAAATGTATCCTTGGCAATTTTAGATTCCTAAGAAGGCTGGCACCTTTCCATCAAGTATGAGTGAGGACGTCAGAAAATACTTCATTGAAGAGAGCGACAAATTCACCATCACTGCCTACTTTACCGACCCAGGTAGGACGCACAGATTCCATGTTTTTTTAAAGAACATCTTCTAGACTTAAGTTGTGACAAAACATGTGGGCCTATTTGGCGTGGTACATGTAGTAGGACAAGGATTGTAGCTGAGTTTTTTGTCTCTAGTTTGCACCTGACTTTGCTCGATAATGACACCTTTGATAAGAAGAGATACAATTTGGGGCCAGATTCCAGCAGATACCATCAATTAAATATGTGTGTTCGTGCACACACGAAAA